AAATGCCTGGTTTATTCCAAGAGGCATTTGGTTCTTTAATTGCTCTGAGTAGGGGTTTCTTCTATGATGGCAGGAAAGGTCTGAACTGAATTTGCTGTGCTGCATGAGCCCCTTCTGGGAGTTTCCCGAGGACACAGGCAAAGGATTACCTTGTCTGTCTCTTGTTGATCTCTATTCCTTGGTCCAATGTTTACCCTTACCACACACCTTCCGCATAATCCAGAAGGGAGGGACATTGTGTTGCCCTTGTTCCTGGAAAAATCATTCTTTCTTGGAACACCCTGTTTACACTCCCTCCTTGGTCCAAAGTTTACCCTTACCACACACCTTCCGCATAATCCAGAAGGGAGGGGCCTTGTGTTGCCCTTGTTCCTGGAATAATCATTCTTTCTTGGAACACCCTGTTTACACTCCCTTTCCAAATGACCTTGTTTTCCATACCCCAAACATCTGACATTCCTCAAACATTTTGAAATTGCTTCTCCTATCCACATATCATCATGGTCACGAGACTCAACATTAATTGTGTCCCTGGTCCAATTCTCCAAGTGTGCAGATTTTGCCTTTAATTGCCTAATTATTCTTTTGCATGCTGCAATAATCAGTCTAACCATTTGATGTGTTCTTCTTAATATTCTTCACGAGCTTCTGTACCAGGATCATCATAGGTGAGTTTTGCCATGGCCTCAACAACCTCACCAGTATCCTGATTGTTGGCCTTGCTTTTATTGATTCTATGTGGATTTCACATCATGCATTCTATCCCACTCATTGCCCTGTGACTTCTCATCTGTTCACTGCCCTTGCAATATCTCCCCACAAAACAAAACCAAATTTAAAAGAAAAACTATAACCAAACCAAACAAAGAAATAAAACAAAAACCAAACAAAACATAAAAACAAAAGAAGAAGAATCTTGTCATGGAAGCTGTATTATCTTAACACACATAGGTGGGAGATCAGAACACCAGAATGCCAAAGATGTGTGGATAGTAAAGACTACTATTTCAATGTGGACTGTAGCATTTCAAATGTGAACCATTTATTGATACAGCAACCACTTGTGTTAGTAAGGCTTGACTCAAAAGTAACGGGCTAATTAATCTGGGACAGGAAATTTCATTGTGA